ATATATATATATATATATATATATATATATATATATATATATATATTAAGGCATTAAAACTAGAAATGTTGTATTGTAGGCCATGATAATTTTAAAATAAAACACACACAGTCGACCGGTTTCGTCCTCTCGTCAGAACTGTTAACGGGGAATTTAGATTATGAGGAAAAGAAAAAAAAAAGTATGTCATGGGTGACATGAATGAATGGACAGGGAAGGAAGGAAAAAAAAAAATTAAAATTATACCAACCAGGCTGCTAGAAGCGCAGAACAGCAAGTCCAAGCAAACAAACTTCTTTGTTTGCAAAGAGCAGGTTGCCTAGACCTGATGTAAAGCGACTCCAACACCTCCGACGATCCGTTTAGGTGAAACCTCGGTAGGTTTGTCTGGCTCACTAGGTTTATCTATCTATCTATCTATCTATCTATATATATATATATATATATATATATATTTGTGTGTGTGTGTGTGTGTGTGTGTGTGGAGAGAGAGAGAGCGATAGAAGAAAAACAACAGGGATCCGATTATGAGGTAGAACATTTTAAAAAAGGCAACGACTTATAACAACCACAATATTTGCAACCTCTGCCAACAGAAAAATTGGCAATTATTATATTTCCCGATCCAAAGAAGCTTCTGAACAAGAAATCCAAAATCTTGAGGCCTTGCTTACATATTAGAAATTTCCTCTTAGACACATATTAGACTAGATAAAAAAAGAGTAATGCACATTTCAATTAACGCCCACGCAGATACATTTACAATACCCTTGCCTTTCTTCTTTTTCTCCTTCCTTTTTCGCATCCTGCTCCTTCCTTTCTATTCCACCCAATGCCGTGTGTTTATTTATTTATTTCTTGAAAATAATAATATTAGCCTTAAAAAAAGTGTTAAGAGTTTATTTGATAAAAATTGGCAGAGGATACTGTAAAGTTCAAACCAAGGTATCGGATTCAACTGACCTCGTGATTTTTAAATTAGATAGATAGATAGATAGATAGATAGATAGATAGATAGATAGATAGATAGATAGATAGATCGTATTGGTTCACATTTCCCAAAGTGCAATCTGTTTTGCAATCAGTATATCATTAATCTTCAAATATTTCCAGCTCTTATTTTGGAAATAGAAGATTCTGCTTCATTCGCATACGTTCAGATTTCTAGATCCTCTTTATATTAAAACTCAGAAATAATGAGTTTCGTCATCTGTTCCATAAGCAACTGAAAAAGGAAAACGAACTTCATAACCCCAAAACAAGACAAGTTCGAAGATAGTTTCAGAGCCAAAATATTCTAGTTAATCTAAGAAAAACAAATAGCAAAATCATTGTAGCTCCAATATCTGCTGTGTTCTATTTAATATGAGTTACGCATATATAATTAGAAATAACAAATAAAAAGGCAAAACTAATACATAATGTGATAAGGATTTTTTTATTACAGTAATATTAAACGGTGTATAAATATGATTTCGTATTGCTTCCATTTTCCCCAACTTTCCATAATATTATTTTGAATCTCATTTGATTTGCTAGCCTATTGGCTCTAATATTGATATCGACACTTTTATTAATATTCCTATGGGGTTGAAGTCTTATGATTATGGAGTGGACCGGGAGTTTACGTGTTGTTAGATTAGGAATACGTGTGTAACTCCAGATAGAATTAAAAGGTCCACTACAAGAATATGGCGGACTCAAGTTGAGTCCAATCGGAGATGTAAAAAGAAAACAAACCGGACCTATATATATATATATATATATATATATATATATATATATATATATATATATATGTCCGAATTTTGAATAAAGAAAACAAGTGACCAAATGTTACGTCTAATTAAAGATTCAATCAACAATTTTCCCGGATTATCTATGAATTCTTCCATCTATTAACAAGCTTACTAATTCCATTACTGTAAAATTATTTTGGCTTTGATTCGAAGAACTCACAAATGTCAGTTTTAACCTCGTCCTGTGTTACAAAAGCTGTTTCTTCCAAATGATTTTGTAAGCTACGAAACAAATGGTAGTCTGGAGGAGCAAGATCGGTGGATGAGGAATTTTCTCCCAACCAAGTTCTTCGATGTTTTGTGACGTGATTCTTGCCGTGTGGGGTGGGGTCGCGCATTGTCCTGGTGAAACATCACCTCTTTTCGATTCACTAGAGAAGGTCTTTTATTCCCCAAAGCTTGGTTCAAACGCTCTAATTGCTGATAGTATATTTGAGCATTAATTGTTGCATTAGGTGGTAAGAATTCAAAGTGGATTATTCCTTGGCGATCCCACCAGATTGAAAGAAGAACCTTTTGCCCATGAAGTTCCCTTCTCGGCTGTGGCTGGGGTCATTCCCCTTTACCAAGCCACTATCTACGACGCATAACATTTCGATAAAAGATCCATTTTCCGTCGACAGTCTATCCAAAAAAGTGAAACAAGTTGGCAAGAATGGAGAGAAGAGCAGATGTCAACTCGGGATTTGAGGTTATTTTCAGACAATACATGACGCACCCATTTTCCAATTTAGGAGCTTTTCAAAGTTGTTGAAGATGATGATGAACAGTTGTATGGTTTTAACTGAAAACTACTGCCAATTCCTCAACTGATTAGCAGGATTTTCTTCGAGGACTGCTTCCAAAAGCTTTTCATCAAACTCAACTGGACGTCCAGTTCGATCTTCATCTTCAAGGGTGAAATTTTCACCTCTGAATTTTGCAAGCCATCTTCTGTAAGCTCTTTCATTCACACATTCCTCTCCATAAACTGAGTGAATGTTTCTAGCCGCTTCGGCTGGTGAGTTTGTAAAGGTATGTAGTTGAACTCATACAGCAAGAATAGACGCCTTTCGCTGCTCACGGATTCCTTAGAGAGACTGGCCACTACGGGGTGACGGATACTTGACCACAGGCTCACTTCCATCCTCTCTATCTCTCTCTTCCTCCGGCCTCCTCGAAGAAACGATACTGTGACCCTCCCCGCAAAATAAAAAAAGAAAATAATTAAGCGTCGTCAATTCATGCAGCTCTGGGGTCTGACAAAATTGAAACCAGAGACGGCATGAAACGCAAAAATATATCTGGGACCAAATCGATTTATGAGTGTTGATTCCATTCAGACATGATGTAAAACTCTTTGTTCTTTCAACAGATGGAACTGTGTAGCATACAAGCAAAAACAGCTTTAAACATTTCTGAAGGTATCTCCCTTTCTATAAATGTACTTTACAACTACATACCTTTACAACCATATACCAGCAAAAATATAAAGCGTCCTGCGTAAGACGATATACTGCCTCCGACAGCAAGACCATTGACCACGAGATTGTGAGGAGCATGTGACCAGCTCTTAATTGCTGGTGTTCCCAGGTCCACCCTGAACCTGGGTAGTAGCACCTGTTAGGGGCCCAGCTATAGGCAAATAGTTGACGCCTAAACTGGGGTCAAAATACCATGAAAATGTAAAAATAGGTTTTAATACCAGAAATACAGTTTTGTAAAAAATTATTACCAGCAATACATTATTACCAGCAAAATTTATTATAAACAAAATTTGCCAGCATTACATTTATTAAAAAAAGAAAAATTGCCATCTATACATTTTTTGAAAAGAATGTTACCAGCAATAGATTTTTAGAAAGAAAATATTACCAGCATTAAAAAAAAATATATTTTTTTTTATATTAAAAATATTTAAATATTAAAAGTTTTGTCGTATTAAATGACCTATTCAGGTTGATATGATGTAAAACGAACCAAACAAAACCAAAAATATATGCATTATTCTATACTCGTTGTCCATTAATTAAACCGTACAGGTCGGTAGTATTTATAGTTTTATAGGGAATCATTAATCGTGTAATAATTTAATTGTGGTACTAGGCAAGAAAGAATATTCTCAGTTGCATTTCTCCATTAGAAAAATTATTATATTCATATGTGCCAAACATACAAGATTTTCAGAGGTTTTATATAAATATATATATATATACTTATCACAAATTTGTCCCACACAGAAAAATTATAAAGGATGTGTACAACAAGCCGTGTGAAAAGAGAGGTGGGGTCATACTTGTAATATTTCACTATTAAGAAAAGGACAGGACCTTGGTGTCTTTTATGCTTTTTGTGAGACGATATGGATTGTTCTGGTCAACTTATTGCTGTAGGCATGTTAGGTTCACTTTTCCCGCAGGTTACGCTCTATAAACTGTACTTACTGACCGGCCGTCATGTGACCAGCGTTACTTTGTCTCAACCAAAGGGAAATAAAGTCCCTTTGCATTCACACACATTGGACATAAATAAGTTATGCTTAATATCTAGAACACCTATGTGTTCAACGCTACTGTGGATGTATTGGCCAGCATAGACGAGCCCTATTATATTTGACAGTAAATTAATTGTCCTGCAACTTGAAGCATTTTTTTTTTTATTGAATAGACGTTTTAAATTTCTGTTTACAATTCCTGGATGAGTTTTCATTATCTACACATTTACCTTAGTTTTTTTGTGAAACAATAACTTAATGTATTATGCAGTTGCAACCCGAAGTCGGTGAGTGTAAATCCCTCGGCCAGCGAGTGTGATAGGACTCAGTGAATTTTGAATGAACAATAACTGAATGAGACAAAATAAGACATGATATCCGCAGAGAGGCTCGCCAGAAATGAAAATATACACCTGTAGATTAATAGAACAGTTCGAGATTTCCTTAAGCTTATTTGTACTGACCAGCGCCGATGAAAGCCGGAGTGCTCAACAAGCGAACTGTTGTGAAAATAACAACATAGACGAGGAAGGTATTTCGCAAGTATATAATGTTAATAATATCTTTTTTAAGTTAAACATTTAAATTTATACATTTTTAATCAAATATATTTGTCTTTATGTTTGAGTTTATTTGTATTTATACAGAGAACGACAGAACAACCTGCTACATACACTTCTCAGAAATACCTACCACATAATGGTAAGGGAACATGTGCTGTAGCAAATATGCCCCGCTCTATTTTATACTGTCACCTATTTGGCGCAAGTGAACAAGTTGCAAATCATCTATCTAATAGCTTTCTATTAGAGGTAATTCTGGGAAATGTATGTGGTATATATTACTACCACAGTCTGTATAGCCAGTCTCAATTACCTGGTGCACTCGCTATGTATATGCTAAATTATTAAATTATGGTAGGAAACCCCCATCATAGCCAAATATCAAAAAACATCTAACTATAAAAAAAAAGTTTCAAGGCGCACACTAGTATGGTGGCGTAGTGGATATAAGAATTAGTTATACAAGTGTTACAGTATTTTAGTGGTCAGGAGTTAAACCCTTGGATTTGGAAGAGACACACCAATCAAGTAGGAACGAACATTAACTGATATCACAAGTAAAAATAAGACGATCAATAGATAGTCCATATCAGCAAAACAATGGATACCTGATGATGACTAGAGAGTACTTGGTCTAAACTCTGTGTCTATAATAATACTAACAACAACAAAGATAAGAACAATAGTTCGAAATAATACGAGATTATTGAAAATTACTGATGTCAAAAATGAAATAGTAAAATATGAATATCATCATAATCAAATGTTAAAACAATCTGACAATAAATATAGAAAAAACCCAAAATACACCACCGATGTACTTCAGGACATGCTGATGTCATAATGGGGATATGACATTATAGAACCTGATGATGAGCAGAGGATACATGGTGGAAACGTTGTGTTTAATATAACATCAATATCAAAAATTAATGAGACCAGTATTGAAATAATACAGGCATATTGAAAATTACTGATCTCAGAAACTAAATACTAAAGTATGTTTGTTTGCTTGTGTGTGTGTGTGTGTGTGTGTGTGTGTGTGTGTGTGTGTGTGTGTGTGTGTTTAGCTCTTATATCTGTGGATATTCGGAATTTACCTGGAAAATGTTTATCGAATTCTGATTTTGTATTCGAAGCGATCATAATCCTAATCGTCTGCAATGACATATTTTTGATATCCGTCATAAAATTTCAAGATTTCGATAGAAATTATTCTTACTTGCATGCGTGCGCAAGACAGTGAACGCATATTTTTGTGTCCTAGATGCAAACACTTTGTGAATCGTAATTGATCGATCAGTCGAAATCTCAGCCTGAAAGTCTACAGGTCATCTCCAGCAACGTTACGGTGAGTCATTACTACATTTTCGCTTATTTTTCTTTGGCTCATTAACTTTCAGTTGCTTCCATCTTTGTACTGAACGCAGTTACACTTCTTGCTACTAACTTAAATTACAGCACAATCCTTGTTAGTATCCGTGCATTTTCTAAGATTTTGTGTGTGCCTCAACCCGGAGAGCATGTGGCAACAAGACTCATCGATTTTTAGAAATGTTAATGTGTTTTTAATATTAAATTATTATATTAGTATTAATATTAAAAGAAATACCTCCCATATATACCACACAGAAATACCTCCCACATAATGTTAGATAGATGAAGACATAATTGCCACTAATGTATTGCCATTATGTGGGTGGTATTTGTGGGAGGTATGTGTGGGAGGTATTTCTGCCGCACCATGCATATCTTCACTCCACATCTGTTAGCTGAACGTCAGATGAAGGCAATTTTCGTGCATTTGCGATATGGTTGCTGCTTTAGTTGTTGTTCTTTACTTCTTCTTCTTCTTCTTCTTCTTATTATTATTATTATTATTATTAGTAGTAGTAGTAGTAGTAGTAGTGGAAGTAGTAATAGTAGTAGGGAGGTTTAACAATGTCTTGTGTAGTAGTTGTCTCCTACTTTCAAGCAGAAACAAGTTCTTTGTATCAGAAGATGCAAACAGGTGAATGTCATGCAATCAGAGAGAAAAAAAATGTACACTTGTGGATACCTCATGGAAAGAAGCATTTTGTAATTCACATAATTTAGGGCTGCCAGGAATTTGATCCTCATATTAGTTTTCTATTTTCAGTATAATTACCAAAGTCCCTATGACTACAGGTAATGCCACTTTCCATCATTTCTATATTGAGACCCGTATATTTATAAGTAAATCCTTTGATTTCTGTTGTATCGAAATTACCAACCAGGTACCAACCAGAGAGCTAGGGTTAGAAATTGCTTCATGACATATATACTAAGATCAATATCTATCTATCTATCTATCTATCTATGTTAGTAGTAGTAGTAGTATTAGTAGAAGCTATCAAAGATGCATAATAACAGGTTCTGTTCAGCTAAACATCACACGTAGATATTCAGACTATCCATATGTGTCCCTGATTTTCCTAGAAGACAATGCATTTATAAAATATTTTTCGATGGACTTTTCAAGCCATTTATGGAATTCTTACATAACTATAGCGACACTAGTCAGCATTCCATAATTTCCAATTCTTTTCAGTTTCAAACTCAGTTGCTTATAATTCTCTATTTTCTCTTTATCGACCGCTCTTGTATGAAAAGGATCCTCCATATCTCTAATATTGCAAGAGATACTCGTTTTAATAACTATATGTGAGCGATTCCAGTGTATGGCCCTTTTGGTACGTGCCTAGAAACTATATCACAGCTTCTCCCAAGCCTTGATTGAAAGTAACTAGGGAGAAATATTCGGAAGATGACCGTGTCCTCAGAAATCAAGAGTTCATGGCCATTGTGTATACATCGGGTGTAACAGCTAAATTGCCCCAATCCTGTTACAACAAAATTGTTCAATTGTTAGATTAAGCTTTGTACTGTTGTATCTTAGAAATTATTAAATATATCTTACTGGAATACACCGTTTTTTTTAATAATACTATTAAACAGAACATTGAGCAATAAGAAGATATTTATCTCTGAGCTGAAACGAAGATCGCGCTTGCTGATTGACTTCGGATCCAGTTTTCCTCCTCATTGCTCTCTCTTTTTAAACTTATTCATCGTTTTCGTGATGGTTCTGGAATGGAAAATTAATCCACGCATCTATATGAAAGGGCTGCCAGGAATTTGATCCTCATATTAGTTTCCTCATTTCAGCATCATTACCAAAGACCCTATGACAAAAGGTAATGTCACGTCCATCACTTCTATATTGAGGTCCGTATATTTATTAGTAAATCCTTTGATTTCTGTTGTATAAACATTACATACCCGGTAACAATCAGAGAAGTAGGGTCAGCAATTGCTTCATGACATTTTCCACAGATAATTTTTCATAATAAAATAAAAAAAAATATACTAAGATCAATATCTATCTATCTATCTATCTATCTATGGGAATGTTCATATCTATCTATCTATCTATCTATCTATATCTATCTATCTCAGTCTGTTCATATCTATCTAACTATCTATCTATCTATCAGAAATTTCATATCTATCTATCTATCTATCTATCTATCTATCTCAGTCTGTTCATATCTATCTAACTATCTATCTATCTATCAGAAATTTCATATCTGTCTATCTATCTCAGTCTGTTCATATCTATCTATCTATCTATCAGAAATTTCATATCTATCTATCTATCTATCTATCTATCTATCTATCTATCAGAATGTTTATATCTATCTATCTATCTATCTATCTATCTATCTATCTATCTATCTATCTATCTCAGTCTGTTCATATCTATCTATCTATCTATCTATCTATCTATCTATCTATCTATCTGAATGTTCATATCTATCTACCTATCTATCTATCTATCTGAATGTTCATATCATACAATTTATCTATATTTCTATCTATCAGAATGTTCATATCTATCTATCTATCTATCTATCTATCTATCTGAATGTTCATATCAATCAACCTATCTATCTTTCTAGCTATCAGAATGTTCATATCTATCTATCTATCACAGTAGTAGTAGTAGTAGTTTAAATCAAAGATGCATAATAATATATATATATGAGAATATTTATATTACACACTTTATGTATGTATGGGAAGCGAATATAGATGAATCAATAACTCGGATCGATAATATTCTAGTTTGATATGAGAGGGAATGCGCGGTATTTTTCATACATGTAATAGTTAACAGGTTTAAAGTTTGTGTTACTTTGAAATATGCATGACCACAGAGAGAAGTATATAAAAAAGCATTCTTCAGTAAGAATATTTGGAAATGCTCGTGTATGGATTTTACACAAAGACGCTGATATGCAACCGATCAATTAGAATTCTATAAAGGTAACGATTATATTGAATCATTTGTTTGTTTTGCTGCTAGGAAAGTTGGTTGACTCGATCGTGCTAGTCCATTCTTCACTCCCGAATCGATCTTCATCATTATAAGTTGACAATCATCCATGTATTGAATGTTTCTGTTACATCTAATCTGCTGCATCTACTATATTTAGATATTCTTGAATAATTCCAAAGATAAATCTACAGTGTTATTGGTCTTGACATGACATCTCAGCTTCAGTCACATTCGCATCGCCGTAACTTATCTTTTCTGTGTTTTTTTTTTTCTATAAGTATTTTCAAGTTAATTGTTCTAATGAACTTTCCAATTGGGTACATTGACCTTACGAATGTAAACGCAGTACCAGATTGATTGTCAGATTTAATCATTTACAGTTGAAATTGGTAGATGTAGTCACAAGTTCTATATTAAAATTTTCTTCTCTTGCGCGTGTCTCATACGAAATTCTCTTTTCGACTTTAAAAACATTTGAACTTCAAAATTTGAAATGCAGTGTCAACCTTCACTTCTATATGTAGAGTTGGCTAACAAAAATAAGTCAGTTTATGAACCAAAAATCAGTTACAAAAATCACGTGAAAGAATCACTGAACATTTCAAACATCAATAGATTTTTTTTTCAATCCATCATCCCCAAGGAAATCAATAATATCACTACGTCGTAAGGGATTACTAAGAGTGAAAGATAATGAGAAGACTTTAGAGAATGGAAAGGAAAATAAAAGAAAGCAGAAGATGGTGATTGACGTTGAATGTAAATCATTGAATATCGTATATGGTAGAAAGCAAGAAACCGGAAGAGAGCTCTTCAGGCAAGAAGTGCAAGAGTATATATTTCGAATATCGTGGATGACAGGGACTTAAGATGATTCAGGGTCCAATGAAAATGATTGTGACACATCGTAGAATGATGTTAATCACACAAAAATTATACTAAATATATTTGACATCAAAATTTAGAGTGCGTATCAGAAATAACGTATATTAATTGATTGATTCGTTTTTGTATTTTGTTTTTTGTTTTTTTGGTTTCTCTCAGCTTTAATACAAGTTATTTAAAGCCCAAACCTTCTTTACATTGAAAAAAATTAATTTATTATATTTTTCGAGGATAATTATTTAGTGATACAAACTTACTAATTAATCCATAGCTTGGAGAGAAAAGGTGCATTCATATATTTACTTGTGGTATTTGCACGTAAGTGAATATAACGATTCCAACAGAAATAGAACTCAACACTCCGATTAACAATTCCGAGGTATTATCTATTACACCACCCACACAGCTTACAGCAACAGGTATTCAATAGCGGTCACCCTTCTACATATTGACCAGGATTGATCTGTCTATATTTCTGAGATAAGGTATTATGTACAATATTTATATTATTCAGACTATTGTCCTCATCTTTGTCGCCGTATTTATCACAACGTTTCGGCCCTTCAGTATCTGTCTGTATTACTGAGATGAGGTATTATGTACAATATTTATATTATTCAAACTATTATCCTCATCTTTGTTGTCATATTTATCACAACGTTTCGGCCTTTCAGTATCTGTCTATATTTCTGAAATGAGGTATTATGTACACTATTTACATTATTCAAACGATTGTCCTCAACTTTGTTGCCATATTTATCACAACGTTTCGGCCCTTCGGTATCTGTTCATATTTATGAGATTAGGTATTATTACACTAATTAGATTATTAGGACTATTGTCATCATCTTTTTCCCTATTTATCACAACGTTTCGGCCATTGTGCACTCCGGCCTTCTTCTGGTGGTTGGAATGTCGAACTTAATCTTTTTATTTCGCTCGCTGGGGTACAATGTTCTAGTTCTACGTGCCTTGTATAATGGATTTCAGTTATCAGTTATCCCCTGTTAATTCACTTCTCCAACCTCTTCACTGCCTTAACCAGGTATTGAACTCAGAACTCTTAAGGACACATGTCACAGCAGATAAAGGCGTTGGTTATATCCAGTGATAGGGCCCAAAGAGTTGTACAAAGGCCGAAAGGTCGTGATAAATATGGCAACAGATGAAGACAATAGTCCGAATAAGGTAAATAGTGTACCAGGTTGATGTTGCTTAACTTCGTACGTTACCATAAGCTGAGAGGAACATAAGCATTGCTAGTCTGTGATTTGAATACCCATGGAAGTACCTCTGATACAGTTGAATCTTATCATTCACAGTAGTTCTACTAGTATTTAAGGAAGAATGATATGCATGGGAAAGATATCGTGATAATATTCACGTGTACAGCGAAAAATAGCCTGCATGATCGAGAAAGAGACGGTTGCAAATAAATCAAAATGGGTTATAAAAAGGATATGTTTTCGCACCGGATTTATGTAACCAATAACGTGATGTGATACGGAGACGACCAGGAAGTAGACCATGATTTATGATCGCTAGCCGTAACTATAACAACGCAAACGACACTGTGTTGATGATAATTTCAGTGGAAAAAAATGAAAGCACAATTACACAATGAAGTCGATGAAAGCAAAAACAAACGATTAGCCATAAACTGCATTAAGTATCCATGTAAATGCCGCATCAGAGACGTCAAAACAAGCTAGGATGGCCCAGAAATAATATAGATAATATTTTTGCTTGTAAGAGGAAATGGATATAAATCAACAGATATAGGCAAAATGTTCTGGCTATATTTATATTGACATGGGCCATGTGTCATATTCATTTCATAATACAGGGTGACCCATAAATCTGACATAATTTTATAGTCTAAAAACATGGCCAATTCTAGCATAAATGTGTAAAACTCACAAATTTTAAATGTTTGAAATTTTCTCAATGAGAATTTGCAAGGAAGATGGATCGAACGTGCCAGTGATAATAACAACGTGTTGTTGAAATGTCTCTCAAATCAATATATATATATATATATATATATATATATGTGTGTGTGTGTGTGTGTGTGTGTGTGTGTGTGAAATATACATACATTCTTTGCTATCCCACTTCAAATTATCTTTCTATATGTGAATTCAGCAAGATTTATTAGTAATGTTTCAACTTTAACTATTAACTTTCTTCTTCTTCTTCCTCTTCTTCTTCTTCTTCTCTTTATTATTATTATTATTATTATTATTATTATTATTATTATCATATAGGTATGTGTATGAAATATGAATACGTTCTTTTTGTCAAACTTATATGTGATTTCAGCACGTTTTAATACCCCTGTTTCAACTGTGACCCATAAGTTTCTTCTTCTTCCTCTTATTATTATTATTCTTATTTATTATTATTATATATATATATATATATATATATATATATATATATATATATATATATATATATATATATAGTTATGTGTATGATAATAAACATACATACACCCACGAAAACATTCACGTAAGTATAAAAATATTTCTTCCACGTCTGTTATAAATACAGTGCTCAATGTTATGAAATAAAGCTATAATTAGTGGATATACATAATATCTCATGTCAATAGCATGACTCGGAGTTTCATGCAATAGCAGCAAACTTCAACTACATGAATTTCCGAGTCGTGCTGTCGACGTTGAATATTATGAATCATAAACAGAAATATAAAACAGAAGTCAACCTACAAAAATATATTATTAATCCACAACGGAAAATCTACTCTCAATTGAATAGACGTGTCATCTCCTGCTATTCTCTTCTTTAGCAGAGCCAGACAATGCCCAGTACTGTTGATATATATTAGGTAGAATCTGTTCACCCATGACATTTCATTTCATTCAAAAGTGTTCTTGTAGGTGACGAATTACTTGCCGCACTGCAAACCCTTTCTTACAGATGAAACGTATAATCTAAGCACAAGTTAGATCTAAATTATGTCACATTTATTAAAAGTGAAAGTAACTTACTTTTGGCAATATTCTCGATAGTGCAGCTATAAGAACTTATAAAAATATCAATCTGCGTCCCGAGATTTTTTTCAAATATAGACACTCCTGAAAGAAATACTACTTATCCAAACCAACATACCTGACTCTAAAAATGTAAAAGAATAAATTAAAAGCAACTGTTTAGTTCATAAGCTCATTTTATTTCAATTATATAACACATAAATTTATACCAAACTAAAATAATCTAAACACTAATTTGCATAAAAATGAGAAAATTTCAAGAATTTGGTTAACTGACTTTGGTTTAATAGGTATTGAATTGGATCATTTTGCGTCCTCCTTAAATTTGCTTGACTTTTCGACTAACCTGATGAATATTTAAAAGCGTTCTCAAATTTAAGAAAAAATTAAAAACCCTTAAATTGTACGGAAATACATGTTACAAAATATAAAACTTGTGTTTGGCGTGGAAAAATCTCTCAGACAACGAAACACTTCGGCTAAGATAAGTTTCATTTTGTGTCTTCATATATATATTTATATATATATATATATGTATGTATGTGTGTGTGTGTACGCGTATGTACGTGTGTGTAATTCTTTATATATAATCATGCAGGGTAATGTTAGATCGATACACAGGCACTGTGCATCAACGTTGATTATATGTATATCATCTTGAAAGCGTTCATTTAGTAATCAATATCGATTTCTGTTTTCCATTAGCCTCGGTTGCTTCCTTTGTCGTTTACCTGATTGGATGGATTTCTTTTTGTTGCTACTGATTTGTA